AAAATAATATCTCCATAAACATACACCCATTCTACTTCCCACCGCAGATACACCTTTCAAACTATGCCTCGCTTAAAAAAGTGAAGATTTGTTACAAGACTCAGGGTAGAGTGCCAGTACACAGTCAAATGCTTTAACTAGAGCTGTTAATGCTTCTATCCACTCCATGGCTCTTTCTGATTGACTCGTTGATGCCACCCGTCACCACCGCATGCTGAAGAATCTGCATACAACAATAACTTAAGACTTTGATGGTACGGTTATTGTTTAGGTCGTGCTGTATTAACTCCTCGACTGATGTAACCATTTACCTCTGGACTACATAAGGGGGCCTAGTCTATAAGGTTTCCACCACTCCATATAATAGGCCGACGATATGTCAAATAACAAGTGTGGTTCAAAACATTACAAAATAGGGGGAATTAAAATTGACAACTGCGGTAATTAGATTCATGCAAACGTATATCGAATTGTTCTCCACAAGAAACTCACTAACTCCTGATTACCTATTTACTGCTAGGTGAACAGGTGCATTAGGTAATAGAAAACGCCCCAAACCATTTCAGTCATGCCCGACCGGGACCGAGAATCCCCGATTGTGAGTCGAGAAGGAACACACACGTTTCATATTCCTGTGTACGTCAATCTTACACTTTTGTTGAGTGTGCACTTGTCATAATTTAGCACCACCATTAACACCACCATTATTGCCTGTCACTTCAAAACTTTCTTTTCTACGCTATCATTTGAAACTTTCTCTTCCAAACCGAGGGTTGCTTCGTGTGCGCTCAAGTTCGGCCTTGTCTTCGGCTTACAATATCCGCTTTGCAAATTATTATTTTACTTCGGTATCCAGGTAAATATACAAAAAATTATACTAACAAAATAGGATACGGTTTTCTGGTTATATACGGCTCGTATTTTCCCGGAGTAAAAGTCCTCGTGTAACGGGACAGCTAAGAAGACTTCCTTGAAAAAGTGAAACCGGTCCAAGCCTTTACAGAGATTGCTCATCATTTAAGCCTCTTCATTACCTCATAACTATTTTAATGGGATGCACTAAGATAATTATTGGTTAAAATGTTTATCTAAACTTCGTGGCATCGTAAGTTAAATGCTGCAAATGCGAGAACAAAATTTTTATACGACGAAGCCGGAGCCACGTGCAGAGAAAGGGACAGACTCAGCCAACGGGTGTCCCACCCCACTAACCTCGATTTCGCTACCAGTGTTGCCAGCGCCAAGAACAGCTTAGCCAGAATACCTCCAATACTGCCACATCCTTCTGTATAGTGTTATTAGTCAATGTATATACGAGGGAGTATATTACAAAATTAAATGTTTCAGTCCATTAACAATAAAATATAAATACCACAAAAATCAACAGTTCTAAAAATAAAACTTGATGACAGTATACAAAGACACGGGGAAGACGTAGGCAGTGCAGCCATCGTTGACTCGGTGGTCTTAATTGTCTGTATCAACATTCAAGACAACGTCAGTATTCTTGGGCATTGGTTTATTAGGATTGTTATCTACTGACAGTTGAAGTTGCCACAACTCGCTCTTAGTTTAATGATCAGCATATGTGTGTGTGTACTCATCTAGTTGTGCTTGCGGGAGTTGAGCTTCAGCTCTTGTCCCGACTCTCAACTGGTGTACAGATTCCTGAGCCTACTGGGCTCTATCATATCTACATTTGAAATTGTGTATGGAGTCAGCCTCTACCACATCACTGCCTAATGCATTCCACCTGTTAACTACTCTGACACTGAAAAGTTCCCTCTAATGTCTGTTGCTTATTTGTGAGCTCAGTTTCTACCTGTGTCCCTTTGTGCGTGTACCACCTGTGTTAAATAAACTGTCTTTATCCTACCAATTCCTCTGAGAACCTTGTATGTGGTGATCATGTCTCCCCTAACTCTGTCCTACTATTGTGACTAATAACAATCACAATATTGTTGTGTTTAAGAATATGTAAATTAGAGAAACATATTTATATATACAGGGACCCATAGCCTGGGGAAGAAATAAAGATTACTCGGAGAATATATTATATTTAGTTGGCATCCATCAGTCTCAGGAGACAATGGAGTTGCCCTCTGGTTTATATATATATATATATATATATATATATATATATATATATATATATATATATATATATATATACACATACATACATATATACACAAGGAAGGGGGTGGTAGGAGAAAAGCACACAAACTGTATTGGAGGGGGACCTACATTCCCTCCAATGCGTTATGTGTGGTTTCCTCCAAGGCTATGGGTCCCCCTTCTTCCAGCCAGAGGTGGTACTCCCTTATTTTATTTTATATATATATATATATATATATATATATATATATATATATATATATATATATATATATATATATATATAATATATATATATGATAGCCGACAGAGTGTATCGTGATCCAGCCTGTACTCCTCTTGACATGCCAGAAAGTATTCTGAGGAAACTACTCCAAGCTTGTACTAAAGAGGCACCCTTCTTGAGCCCGGATGGGCACATGTATATGCAAGTAGATGGGGTCGCCATGGGTTCTCCCCTAGGTGTCCTGTTTGCAAACTTCTACATGGGTACCATCGAGCAAAAAGTCTTAGTCGACATGAACTTGAAACCGGCCATATACTGCAGGTATGTTGACGACATTTTTACACAGGTACCTGATGTCAGACATCTGCAGGAGCTGAAGGAGGCATTTGAGCAGAGTTCCGTGCTGCGTTTCACTTACGAGACGGAAAAGGATGGGAAGCTGCCTTTTCTAGATGTAACAGGCATGGAAAAGGGCGGAGGTTTCCACACTGCAGTCTACACTAAGGAAACAAACATAGGAATGTGCCTAAATGCCAACAGCGACTGCCCTGACAGGTACAAGAGGAGTGTTGTTAACGCATACGTCGACCGTGCTCTCAGCCACAGCTCAGAATGGAAGCAAGTCGACGAAGAACTCTGTAGGGTAAGGCAGGTCCTAGTCAATAACGGCTTCTCCAATGGTTTCATCGAAGACATCATAAGAAGGAAAGTGAAAAGCCATGCAACCTCTGAAGAGACAACTAACACAACACCTATACCCCCTATTAGACTATTTTACAGGAACTTCTTTTCCACAGCTCATAAAACGGAGGAAAGGGTCCTGAAAGATATTGTTAATAGAAACGTTATCCCTACAGACAAAAATCAGAGGATACAACTGACGATTTACTATAAAACCAGAAAAACGGCCAGCCTACTCATGAGAAACTCTCCAGACACAAAACAGAACGCTTTAAAAGAGACTAACGTCGTCTATGCCTTCAAATGCCCACTTGGGGACTGTAAGCTCCAAAAAACCCAGTATATAGGCAAGACAACAACATCTCTTTCTAGGCGTTTAACAATGCATAAGCAACAGGGCTCCATTAAGGAACATATAATCTCTTCCCATAACCAAACCATCGCCAGAGAAATCCTAGTAAACAACACAGAAATCATCGATAGATACAGCGATAGCAGGCGGCTTGACGTTTGCGAGGCACTACACATCAAGAAGTCAACACCAGCAATCAACAGCCAATTATTGCACAACTATATTCTACCCACCTCAAGACTCCGCTCCAATATAGAAGCATCAAGAAATATGGACCAATAGGCTTTCTACAAACACTTCTATTCAATACCCATTGTTTCTGTTCTGTCTTGTGTTGATACTTTTAATACCCTATTAATATCCCCTCTTGTTCTGTCTTGTGTTAATGCCACATCACCCCTCCCACCTCACTCAAATGTAGATATAAAATCAGAGATACGTAAGTTCTAATCAGTTGTGTATTTGTGAAGTCTTTGAAAATGTAATAAGTTTTACGAAACGCGCCCGTGTCGCGTCAGACTAGAAATAAAAATGAATTTTGGAGAAGTGATTTTTGATTTACCTCCAACAGTGAAGCGTAATGTACGAAAGATTGAGAAAATTCGTGTTAGAATTATTAATCTTACTTTTTCGGTCATATTTAATAATATATGTCTACAGGAAAGACTGCTACCAAAATATACTAATATATATATATATATATATATATATATATATATATATATATATATATATATATATATATATATATATATATATATATATACACACACACACACGATTGATTGCATACAAACGAATATGAAATAGACTATAAACATAAATTTCCTCGATTCAGAACAAATAGGAATTATCTATTGTCTCGGTGTGGTAACTCAACTTATCGCAGGTTTCTAACTTAGTTTTGTATAAGTCAGTCAGTTTCTGTGGATTTGCAGACATTAGAGCGAGAACCATAACAATACACATGATGAGGTCATTGAACGCCGCCTCGCACCTCACCAAGCCGCAAACATGAAAATTCAAGGAAGTTCAATTTCATTTCGACAGTACAACTTAGTCGTAATGAATTTAGCTTCAGTTATTTATTGACACACAACACCATGTTAAGAGAAAACAAAATAGGAAGTGATTTATGAGCAATAAGATGAATAAAGCTGAAATAAAATGTAAGAATATGTGTGTGTGTGTCATTTTCGTGTGTGGGGTTCGTCAGGCATCACCACCACACATTCCCAAGTGTTCCTGACTCACTCTTCAACGCGTGTCTTTTAAGGTATTTTATCTCGACTGGATTCAGGTTATATGTTGACGTGTAATAATCAGGCTATACAAAGGCTTTGGGTTGGTTGTGAGCTGAACAAAAATATTACAGGGAACAAATTCCCAGTTTTCCTGAATTTACCTGAAGGCCACCATCTATGGGCGGTGTGGCCCCCACACCCCCACCAGGGCGGGGTGTGAGGGTCGCGGGGGTGTGACCAGCATGGGGGTGGGGGTGTGAGGTGTGACCAGCATGGGGGTGGGGGGTGAGGTGTGACCAGCATGAGGGTGGGGGTGTGAGGGGGGGGGGGTGTGAGGTGTGACCAGCATGGGGGTGAGGGGGTGAGGGCTGGTACTTACGGTCAGTGCCTGGAGGAACCAGCATGCCGGGGTGGTCATGACGCTCTGGACCCCGCTAGTGTGTCTCCTCTTGCATGCTCTACTCTCAGCTCGGTCCGGAAGCTTCCTGGTTCCTTACAGCTCGGTCCGGAAGCCTCCTGTTCCTGTCAACTCAGTCCTGAAGCCTTCTGATTCCTGTCAGTTCGGTCCTGAAGCTTCCTGTTCCTGTCAGTTCGGTCCTGAAGCCTCCTGTTCCTGTCAGTTCGGTCCTGAAGCCTCCTGTTCCTGTCAGCTTAGTCCTGAAGCCTCCTGTTCCTGTCAGCTCAGTCCTGAAGCCTCTGGTTCCTAACAGATCGGTTATGCCTCCTCGTATACTTATCACAACGAACACAAAACAAAAGGTCTCCACAAAACAAGAGGTCTCCACAACACAAGAGGTCTCCACAACACAAGAGGTTTCCGTTCCAACCTTCACCTGCTTGGCTTTAATCTGACAAACAACAGGTACAATAATAATGTGTTCCTTATTTCAAGCTACGTCAACTTGCCTCAAACTTGAGGCAGGATAATATCGGTTCAATAAATCAACTAGTAAGTTGTGTGGTTGAGGCGAGGGTTGCTCGGGACCCGGCCAGGCCGCCGCCGCCCCTGACACACTGGCACATTTTCCCCGTGGACATGTGTGCCACACTGGCGAGGGTGGCGTGGTCGCTGCCCTGTGCACTCCGCCTCCCGTCACGGGGGTGATGGAGCTGTAGCCAACAACACTCACTACGCCACTAATACACCAACACGACGGGGTGGTCCCGTCTGGGCGAGGCGGTGTGAGGGTGTCATGGGGCGCGAGGGACACGCCACCACTCAGTAGGAAGGCTCGGCACTAACTGGTCGCTGGTGCTCCCCGGGGCCCTCTCTGAGAGCTGGTGCTGCTACCTGCCGCCACGCTCCCCAACCTCCTCCACCCTCTCCTCATTCCTCTAATGTTTTCTCTTTCTCTATGTCACTATTTGCATTTTTTTGCAATTGCAGTAGTATTTCCACCTCTCATACAAGGCAACTATTACACTATATATTTACCTCGTGAGAGGAATTTAGCTAGGTACTATATCAAAGAATTATATGACCTAATTAATATACATCACCTGTACTCAATTATTTTATTCTTACTGTATAAACTTACTGTATAAACTGTGCTACATGGAAGGTTTGTTCCCAGTAGATGGATTTTCAACAACAACATTAACTCGTCCTCCACTAAGGTCCATTACATCCAGCGGTCGACCCCTCAGAAGCATTTGTAACACGGGTAGGGGTTCTCGACTTATCTTTCCTTCTACTCCCCCTCTACCCGTATTCTTACTTTTTATTCTCTACAAGGGACTCCAAAACTTTTACCAAAGCCAACTCCACGCCACGTGGTCCTAAGACGATTGACCGACTTAGGATTCTACAACCAGTATGACGTGACCTAGGCTTTGAGCAAAACCCTAGAGTCGCCTCCGCCGCCACCACCAGACCAGTAACACAGAGCAATGATCGAGGTCTGGATCGATCATGCTAATTAATCAACCTTGGGGCTTGATCCCCACTATAACCGATGACCTTGAGAGTTCTTAAGTGTGGAATTAATTACACGGGAATGATGAATTCCGATTCGATGTTAGAATCGACGCCCAATCCAACTCTGCCTCGTGTGGACCACGTGACCAGGACAAGTTCACATACTGTACATATAACAAATACATGGAAATAATAAAAATGCAAAATATTAACTAATTAATTTATTAAAAGAAACTAAAACAAAATCTAAATATGTTCACTCCCTGTCACTTTAACACTCCCTACTTGACCTGACGGCAATGAGTTGACTATCCCTATAAATAACAAATAGCAACTATACCTCTATGTTAACCAGCTAAAGATGTTGGGGGCTGGTCTTGGGGGAGAGGTAAGATGGTTGACCTCCCCCAGTTGATCTGGACTCCACACTGATCTCTCCTCGTCTGGTGTACCCCAGACTAGAGCATTGTATTGTTCCGCATCGCTTACCCAGTTACTTAGCCAGGTTTAAGTTATAACAATTAACCTCTGTTTGTACTGAATTGATCCAGACTGGTTGAATTATTTTACTGAAATTAAATTACACAAGCATCTAACGGCAGAGCTGTTCCCGTTCCCCAAAATGGTTATTAAAACTTTGAGAAATAGTAGACATGTCAACACTGATGACCTATGACCGCCAGGTCACTCCGCCTTACAACTTAGATCTGATTCGTGATGTCACTGATGGTGACTTAACTCAATAATTAGAATACTCTTGATATTATACCCAGTAATATTATACAATACAACTTTTATACAAAATGAATAAAGGTTAATTTCTCTAACTTACTGAATACTATAGGATGATTCATTATACGCAGCTATGAACAAGGCGTCGATTATTTTCACCGCGAATTCCCCTGGGGTCAGGTCCCAGGTCACCACGCGGGCTCAGCTTCCCATTCTCTTTTGTCGATAAACCACTCTGGATAATTCTTACAACCAGCCTAGTTTGTTACACATTCATAAATTTTTACAGCTGTTCATTCAAAACAGGAATTTTCTCAAATATAAATTAATATTATAATATATTAGCATATAGTGCATATATAGGTATAGGTTAAGTTAGGTGTTTAGGTTCTGTTGGCGATTATTTGTATTTGTGGTACATGGGTGAAGCATTTACAGCGTTGTGGCTCGAACAAAATTCGTCAGTGAAGCACTTGTTCCAGAAGTGTTCGAACGAAATCAATTGGTGCGTTAATTGTTTTTCATTCATAAACGGGTGGTTTGGCGGGTGGATGGAATCACTTTTGGGTCTTTGTTTGGAGGACGGGCTGCGGGCTGTCACCTGGGGTCTAGTAGACTCGAACAGTGGACCCCACACTTGTGGGACCGAACCTCTATCGACTGAGTTACATTTTATTTTATTTTACACCACAACAACTTATTGACCAACCAGCAAGTACACATTTTATTTGATTTATATATACAAGAGTTCTTACATTCTTGTAAAGCGACCAACACACATAGCGTTTCGTGCAAGTCCTTAATCCTAACTGTTTCCCCTGGAATACGACCCGCCAGATCGTTTAACAACCAGGTACCCCATTCACTGGGTGAACAGAGGCTACAGTTGAGGGTTGGCACCCGGTCAATCATTTCCGGCCAGGATATGAACCCAAGGCCAAAGCAAGGTCTGGGGTTCCTAGTCCTGACTACAATCCATGGTTTTATGTTGGGCCAATCATCCTTTGTGCGATATTAAGGCCACAAACACAGTGTGAATTTAAGCAGTGCCAGTGGTGTAGTTGGTATACACTCGCCTGGCGTTTCACGAGCTCTTTGTCCTGGGTTCGTGTCCTGGCCGGAAAGGATTTACTGGCCGTCAGTCCTTAACTGTAGCCTCTGTTTACCCAACAGTAAAATTGGTACTTGGTTGTTAAATGATTTGGCGAATCGTATTCCAGGGATAATTAGGATTAAGGATACACACAGAAATCACAATAGCGTGATGCATCAAATGAACAAATCCACAAGGGCCGTGATGAGGGTTCGAACTTACGTCCAAGATGATCCCAGACGCACCTTAGTTGATTGCGCCATGACATGGAAAAGAATTGCAACCGGGAGTGTTACTGCCCTCACACGGATCCCGCAGCCTCTTAAAGACACAAACCGGTTTTACACAATTCTAAGAGGGTGCGGGATCCGTGTGAGGGCAGTAACACTCCCGGTTGCAATTCTTTTCCATGTCATGGCACAATCAACTAAGGTGCGTCTGGGATCATCTTGGACGTAAGTTCGAACCCTCATCACGGCCCTTGTGGATTTGTTCATTTGATGCATCACGCTATTGTGATTTCTGTGTGTATCCTTAATCCTAATTATCCCTGGAATACGATTCGCCAAATCATTTAACAACCAAGTACCAATTTTACTGTTGGGTAAACAGAGGCTACAGTTAAGGACTGACGGCCAGTAAATCCTTCCCGGCCAGTAATAACACTAATACTGGTCCTATTAAGCGGGGGTCGAACCCAATAGTGATCCCAAAATATTCTTTGAAAAAACACTGTTAGAGTCCCTAGATTTTTTACTCATAAATGATGAATGTGAATTTAGTATTACATGATATGAAACAGTTGAAGATAAAGGGGGAAGAGAAGGAGAAGGGAGAATGTTTGAGGAGAGGGACAGAGAGGAGTGGGAGACAGGTGGAGAAGGGAGGAGAAGAGGGGAGAGGGAGATTCAATGAGAGGGTGGCGAGGGGAGGCTGAGAAGAGAAGAGGAGGATGTTGAGGGAGAGAATGGAAAGAGGAGAGGAGAGAAGAGAGTGGGAAGGAGGGTCATAGGGGAGAAAGTTGTAGATGGGGAGATAGGAAGAATGGCAATGACAAACGAGTGAGAGAGAGGGAAGGGGCAAGAGAGACCCAATCACAACTAGGTAGCTCCCCCCCATGTTGCTGATGGTGCGTCAGGTGTAGTACCCCCAGTGGTGGTGCGTCAGGTGTAGTACCCCCAGTGGTGGTGCGTCAGGTGTAGTACCCCCAGTGGTGGTGCGTCAGGTGTAATACCCCCAGTGGTGGTGCGTCAGGTATAGTACCCCCAGTGGTGGTGCGTCAGGTGTAGTACCCCCAGTGGTGGTGCGTGTTACGGACCCGAGTCTAGCGTCCGGGCACGGAGCGGTGACGACAACGCCATCTGTGGGTCAGCTCCTGAAACCCCCTCCAAATGGACGACGCCATCTAGTGAGGACGGGATATACCGGCCACAGGGGCTGGATTCCCGTCTTAATCAGCTCGTGACATAGCCGCTGCTGACCTCTGGTGAGGTGGTGCTTAGACAGCAACGCCATCTATGGAGTGGATAGGTGGACGTTTGTGTCTAAGTCTGTAAGTGAGGTGCCCTAGAGTGTTCCCAGTACTAATGACGTGTCTGATTACAAAGTCGACCTGGGACTGCTGTATTGGACGATGGGGCAGTCTACCCAAGGCAGCCATAGTCTCTCCACGAGTTTCCTCTGAGGAAGCTGTGAGTCACCCCCCGGACGAACACTGTTGAGTGTGTTAGCCTGCCTGTGACGTGGCAGTACCAGGAATCGTTTTATCTGGGGGGCTGGCTGGTGGAAGAGACTAGCCACTGTGGTGCGGAGAGAGGAGAGTGATCTGCGGAATCACACGAGGCTCCTGTCTAGGGCTCACAACCCTAATATCGGTCGTGGAGTGGCCTACACAGCGGAGCTGATCGGAACCTGCCAGCTACAAGCTGGATTTGTGGTTGAAGGCCTCCACGACGGTGCACCCAGTTGAACTGTGATTTAGCTGGCCTGTGGCCGGGGTAGATTCGCCGAGAGAATCAGAGGATTCATCGTGGGCCACAAAGAAGAGAACCAGGGCTACTCATCGTGAGCACCGTGGAGCATCCTGTGTCTTCAGAGGAAGACTAATTTGTATATAATAAGTGTAGTTATAGCAACCCCGCGTGTGACTGTGATATATTTATGGTGGTGGTAGCAATATATATACAAAAGCAGTGCATTTGTATCCCTTCCCCTTTAATTTAACTTGCGTTACGGAACGCACCGATTGAAAGACACTACTAGCTTGGGGCCGGATACCCAAACTCTAATAACGTCAGAGAAGAACCCAGTTGCGACCCAATAGGGCCGTAACAGTGCGTCAGGTGTAGTACCCCCAGTGGTGGTGCATCAGGTGTAGTACCCCCAGTGGTGGTGGTGCGTCAGGTGTAGTACCCCCAGTGGTGGTGGTGCGTCAGGTGTAGTACCCCCAGTGGTGGTGCGTCAGGTGTAGTACCCCCAGTGGTGGTGC